AAAGAGAAGCAGAATGGATGAGCCCGCAGCTCTTCTGGAACTTCAGTTCGGGTTTACCCCCTTGGCAGCGCAGACTTGGTAGTGCGCACAGGAACAAGCCGTAAGCGAGTGGGCGATCGCCCTGCATTCTCGTGCGTCCTTTCTAATGTTCGCGCCGACGGAGCTTCTGCCGCGCTCTCCGCCTTCTTCGAACACGCGCCCTGTTGGCCCCGACTGGTCGCCTACCTCGCCACATGCTTTCGGCTTGGTCTTGCTATTGAAGCGTTGAGCCGTGCCGGCGCCGAACCCCGCGTGTCGTTCGGCACGCTTTCGTTCGAGGAACCAGTATGAAACAGCCACAACAGTCAACGATATTGGCGGGTCTGGGATGGCCACCCGCACCCTGCGCCGCCACCCTCGACCTCTCCAGAGCTAGCCGTAATGGAGAAGGTGACAGCAGCACGGCTCCTGTCGATGTGGAGGAGGTTGACGTGTCGTCGACATCAACTTCACTTACGCCGTGGCAGAATGGTCACCCGAATGTAGCACCGATTTTCAAAACGGCTATGCTCGGCCACCGGCATGAGCTACGGCCCTTCTTGCTTGTTTAACAAATCGTTAGCGAATCGCTTGTTTGGTAGTGCATGCGTGTAAGTAGTAAGGGTGATGTATGAGCCACGTGTCACGACCAGAAAGCCAGCCTTGTTCTGGCTAACAGTTTAGTGCAGAGTTTATCGTATCACTTTGTCCCGAGGCACGAGTTCACCAACTTATGCCATGCATCTTGGATGTACTGAGGCCCACCCTTGTTTGTAGATTCGACTATGGTAGTTGGAAAGATGGGTGTAGCCGAAGTTGTTTGCAAAAGCATGAGCATGGCAGGCTTGGATGTCGGGACTGACATGTGGCCTTGTGTTGCTGGTTTGCTGAGACCACGAATCTCTACAAGCAGGGCGTTTTCTCCGCAGGGGACGCATTCAAGGCCTGGCTTCTCCGGGGACGGGAAGGTCGGGTGATGAACTCAGCTCTGAGCTGTTCCCCGAGATCTTCTACCAGACGCCCGGGCTCGAGAATCAGCGCATGGCAGCTCGGCGAAGTTCTCTGAGTCGGAGCTCTTCAGGGCGTCTTGCCGAGTCTTCCGGAAGCTTGAGCTTGGCCACTCGTCGCCTTTGAGTGCTTGGAGGATTTCGCCGGGTTCATGCATGCGATCCAGCAGGTCGGTGAGATGTGGCTTGGCTTTCGCTAGCCCTTCAAAGCTACAAGCGTTACAGAGAGTCCTGAGGTTTGGCAAAAGTGAAGCCCAATCTGCGGAGATGTTTGCAGCTGCAGTCGGACTCTGGACTGCAGCAGTGGTTTGTTGAATTGGAGCACAGATGACTCTGCTACCGTCGGACTCAGACTTGTCAATGCTTCGGGTTTTTCTCGAGCTGAAGGGCACTCATAAACTGACGTCCTGCGTGGTCGCGTGGGCGTAGTTTGCCTGGGTGTTTCCCTGGCTTCGTCGTTTTGAGCGGGAGCCGGCGTGCTGCCTTTTACAAGGGGTTCTGCTTTCGCGAATTTCTGAAAGTGCAAAGAAGAGTGTGTTTGGAGCCAACAGAGCAAGGAAACACGGCCGGCTGTAGCTTTAGTCACTTCGTTTTCAAAAGTTGTCTGGAGCTCGAAAGTATTTTTAGACATCCTGCGCTCTTGATCTTTTTCAGCAGATGTCCTCCAGTGCCATCATTATGTTCACATCCTCCGGCAGGTTAAACCCTTCAGAGAGTGGCGTGAACGCACATTAGCAAGGTTTGCGAAACTCCGAGGCCCGGACCTGCCTTAGTTATCCTGTCTCAGCTTCAGAAGTTAAAAGGTTTTAAGACCCGTGACTGAAACCACGCGAACCTCCGCCTCAGCGAGATGGGAGTCCAAGGACATGTTGTGCGAGCAGGACGTTGTCACGGTTCGGGCATGGATGCTTTGCAACAACTCAACGCACGACTTCGGACGCCAGTAGCCCCCCCGCCCACCACTCACCCCCACACCCCAACAGAACAGAAGCGAAAAGTACAGCCCCGGCCATTCGAACACGCGAAGGAACTGTAAATACCGTTCAATTTGGCTCCCTCCCGAATCACGACATCCGATGCTCCCCGACCTGCCACGGCGGAAAGTGCAATCCCTTGCACGGCGTCCACTTGCGCCACTGCCAAAAACAAGTTTGACAAACTCAACAAAAGCACCAGGCCAACTACGCGCACACCTCCTCCTGCGTGTTTGTATATGTGGCGGGATCTCTCGATATCGCTAGAAGCCAGATACAACCAAGGTCGGATGGATACTGATGAGGCGCATTTGGGATGACTTGTTACTTGTATCGGAAGCTTCAGGCGGAAGCGTCGTCCCTGGAACTCTTTGACAATTTGCCATCCGCAGAACTTCAGTTGGAAACTGTGCACGCAATCACAACTTATCGACAATTAATGCCTTCAGGTTCAGGCCTTCAGAAGAAGTGGGTGGCAGACTATTGAATTCCAGGATGTGTGCTGTGAGCTTTCTCAATCCTCACAGGAGACTGTCCGGCGAATCAAGCTTCGCATCAAGCACGCAGCATCCATTCATGGTGAGAACGGCAGCTTGCCCAGCTCGACTCTGCCAGACTTGCCGGTGCACAGAGACCGATGCAGCTACAGACCTTGCCGCTTGTTGGAAGAGGGCCCTGCAACCCGAAATTCATGGTCCAGCCAAGGTTGGCGTGAGTTCTTCCACGAGTGCGACCAGGCAGTGTGGAAGCCTGCTAGTTAAATTGATGAAGTGCAGCATGGTGCACCCTTCGGCAGGATCAATCTGGCTATATGGATATTGATGAGCACCCTGCTGCAATCCATACGGGCAGGTTGCATGGGGGTCTTCTCTGTCCATGTGGCTTTTCTGGCTAAAGAAGCCAGAGAAACAAACTCAAAGAAGCCCGAATACCCGGGTGCGGGACGCAAGGCCATGCAACAGGGAGCATGCAACATGCCTGCAGCAACCAAACAAGCAAGCAGTAGGGAGAGAGGTGAGAGCGCTAAGGCCGTCCGCTCCTGTGCCGTCTGGAATCCGGAGAGGGAGGGGGGAAGAGCTTTTATCGAACCACACCCGGTGCCGCCACCCAACGTGAACCTGGAGGTTGCCATGGTGCGTGTATACGATTTCATCGGGGGGCATGAGCACCGGCCTCACCTCGGGCGTTCGCTCTCCCTGTCTACGATGCGACCATTTCTCTCTGCACTCCCATAACAGGTTTGGGCCTGAGCTTCAGACCACGTGCTGCTTCCAAGTAGTGACCCAATTCGATCCAGCAATATCCAGCAAATCGCAGCGACCTTTATCGTCCTATATACTCGAGGGGACGATTAAGTGCCCGGGAACGTATCGCTTGAATGTTTGTCCTGCTGGCAAGACGAAACATTTCGTAACTCCTCGACATACTTGCTCCTTCGAGTGAATTCTCATTCCTCTGTTTCCTTCCGAACCCGTCCTGGTGCAAATGTTTATTTTCGAGCTTGGCTTTAAGCGATTCACAATGCGACTTCTGCATCTGAGGTTCCTTGACATGTGCCGCCACAAGCTTCACCTCGACGAGCCTTCGAGTTATAAGCCGGTCCACTGCATCTCCCGTCTGCATTGTCACCATGCAGAGGCTTGCGTTTCCCACTTGTCTTAGGACCGAAAAAGCCATCTGCAGCTTCTCTTCGAGCGGTTGGACGAGGAAACACGTCTCTCGCTTTTCTTCCATGCTACTGACTAAGGGCTCTTTTTTGTTTTCCAGGCTTCTACTTGAATCGAGGTTCACACCCATGGCTTGTCCTTTGCCTTTGGGGTTTTCAGCTCCTCATGTTGGGATGGAGGCCTTCTCCCTTACAACTCCATTCGTTCCTCGCTTCAGGTCTTTCCGTCTCTTACCTGGCATGGAAAGTTTGATCTTGAAACTAGCGATTGCCTCTGCTCTGTTTCAGGGCCGAGTATGCTCATTTGAGACCGGTGACGTCTGAGAAGCATGTATGCTCGGTCGGAGAAAGGCATCAACAAACCGGTAGTAAGGATTCGTGCTGAAGATGTTCCGCTGGTGTGACCACCCAAGCCTTCGCGATTTACCGCATACAACACCCCTGCTGTCGTCAGAGTCCTTGAATCTTGAAGCACACATTGCTGGACGAACAAGCCAGGCACCTGTTTCTGGACCACATGAATTGCCCACTGTCGGGGTACCGTAGCAGACAGGCAGCACTGCTTCGAGGGATTTCATGGTTTCTTTGGCATGTGATCGGAGCCAAAATGGAACAGCGTTTTCCGTACGAAAGCCGCCAAGTCCTCGTGCCAGGATGACTCAGGAGAGCTCTCTATCGACGAGATGATCGCGTTCATGGAGCGGTAGCAGCCGTTATCGATATGCTTTTAGCAGCATGCTATGGAAACTGCACCTAGTCATGTACAGTAGGCGTGTTTGACAATCCCGAAGGGAGGTCAAATTTCAGCACAACAAAGTTGTGAAGCTCGAGGCCTGACAAAGCAGGCCATGACGTGTCAAACACGTTCCTCAAGAGGCGAATCATAACTCCACACCAAGCCGCTGACATACTGGAGATTCACAGAAGCCTATCATCGATGGAAGGACCTGATTCACATAATGCTAGAGAACCGTACATGTGCTCGTGTTACTCAACATGCGCGACGCCCGTTGAGTCTGCTAAGGAAGAAGCAGATTTTCGTAAGCCTGCTAAGCCTTGCGTTGCTGCGAAGTGTTAACCCTACTTCAGCTGGCTTTTCTTTGGACGTAGAACTGTGTCGAATTGAAGATGAGCTCTTGAGACACGAGTGCCACTCAACCCCTGACCCGAAGGACTTCATTCGAGGAATCGAGAAAGTGAAGACATGTGCCCATCTTCTGCCACACAAAGCTTGCAGTTGCAAGTGACGCTGCATCGTAAAAATCGGGTGAGCTTGGATGTTACAGGTACATGACTCTGTGCACACCAGTTAATTTTAAATCTTTTGCCCTTGAGGTGGAGAATGGCACGAGCTCCAGCTCCAGGGTGGCTCAGGCATCGCTCAGGCACTTAGATCCATTGGATCTCGGCCTCTTGCAGTGGAGTGCAGGTGCTGGAGAGGGCCACCGGCCTTCAGGGAAGCCACCTTTCAGGCCGAGCCCTTCGGCCTAGAACGCAGCGGCAGCTCCTGTCGGGCAGGTCTGGAGTCCCTGAAAGTCATCATTCTGGCTGCTGCTTCAGAGGGCACGGACACAGCTAACTCCTCGCAGTCGCGACTCGCGCTCCGGATTGTCTCAGCCCTTTTCGCTGCTCTCCAAGGTCAGTGCGCTCAGAAGGGAGCTGCGACCTTGGCTTTGCCGGTGCACCCCGAGGTCGTGAGAGATGTCTCGAAAAGCTTTCGTTTCTTCTTGAGCCTATCTGTGTAGAAAGATTAGTTTGTTCATTGCACACTTTTTGTAGACTTCTCGCTTCGTCTCGTCTTCTGAGATCGAGGCTTGGCGTGAACCTTGCCGCAGGCACAGCGTCAGAGTAGCACCGTCACCACTCAGACTCTTCATGCTAATCAGTTATGGCTGCATCTATTCTGTCATATGCCGTTTCTCAGATCAAGAAGTATCAACAAGTCTTATGGTCGCACCTGTCGCAGGAGAGGTGTTGCAGTGCGACACGCTGGAGGATTTGGAGGCTTTGGTCGAGGTGCGACGGAACTGCGTTCCTGCTACGACTCTACGATGTTTCTTTAGATTGTGTTTCGCAGTCCGACGGTCAGACAGATGGCTGACTTCGCTGCAGGCATCTGATGCGAGGTGTCGGCCCAAGCTACCGAAAATCGGAACGCCAGGCAACCCTTGAATTCTCGCCCCGTCCCAAGAAGGATGCGAAATTTTGCAGTCGGTCTGATGCCGGCTCGCTCGCAGGACCATCTCCCGTGTTAATGGCCTACGGATGTCTGCTAGGCTGCTAGCGCCTAGGGCCTTGGGCTAATTAATAGTGCCGAAAGTTGTTGGCAGTTTCTGTCCCGATCCTGCGGATCGACATCCCCATCCTGCTGCCGAGGCCTGACGCACATCATGAGTCTGGTGCAGGTGGGACGGCTATCTCACCAGGGGCGCAGCCCGTCAGAGATATGATATGCGAAGTTGCAACTCCGACAGGTGCTTACCCAATCTATGCCATTCCTCGTTTCTGGAAGGCATTCATCGGCTCGCTCATGTGTGTGTGTATATGTGTATATATATATGTTATATTATATTAATGTATCTCTGAGGCACCTGTTGGTTGGTTGATTCAGCTTGACGACATCCCAGATCAAAAGGCGATGCGTGGCCGGCTTGGAAAGTACAGCTTTCAAAACAGATTGCTTGACGTCAGCTACTAAAGTATCTTTTTGTAATCTGCATACATGTCGCCCGCGATACCAGTACATTGTTTGAGCTGTGAATATCCTCTCTGCTGCTTTTGCATCAGCACTTGGATCATCTGCTGATGCTCCTGCACGAAAATTTATTGTGCTTCCATACGTTGAATCTGTTGCGCAGCCCTCGTTCAGCAACAGCTGCCAAGGTGTCGCATGCCGTGCGCTGGTGCAGCGCCATGTCAGCTTGCGTGCAGCTTGCTCAGCTTTCTGGTTTGTGGCGAAACACATGTCGTGTGTGTGTGTGTGTGTACACCCTGATTCTAAGCTAAGGGTTCTGGTGAGGACTTGTTGACTTTTGACAGTTTCAGAGGCAGGGGGGCATCCCTGTCACCTGAGCTGGATGCCCAACGAAGAGGGCTCAGGATGATACCTGACACACTTGGAGACGTCCAAGTGTGTACCTGCAAGCGAAATGGCAGCCAGGCCAAGCCAAAAGCCTGGCAAGCCGAGGGTCTTGCACCGACATGTCATCGTTAAATTTTCAGGACGCTTAGGCAACATCATCCTCGACATCAAGATCTTCACCAGAAGCGTCAGTCATGTCTTGTCATGCTTGTGCTGTGTACGGACATGTTGATCCTTGCCTGTCTTGTGCTGCATAGTCCGATGAATGAGAATGGAAGGGAGGAACTTGAAACAACATCACCAGGGACAGTACACGGCATCATCAGCATACGGCACGTGCCAACCCACCCCTACATAAGGCAGGTAGGAGTTCCCGTGGGGTAGCGGGTTTCGTGGGGGTTACACGCATATGGTTCGGCGGAGGGGGACGGGATTGCCAATCATCTCCTATGCCGTCTCGGCCCAAATCCTTTGGGGCCGTTGGGCTGGATGCCACTATGGCGTTCCGGCTCTCCCGGTTGGGACGGATCAGCTTCGTTTGTGGACGGTGGTTATATCACGGCTTGGTGTCGACGCGGTCGGGTCAACCTGTGTGGTCGGCGGTTTGTCACCGGTGGCTGGTCAGTCTGGTGGTGTGCCCAGGGGGTTCTGACCCTGCGGTTTTCGACACGGGTCACGGTGGTTTGGGGACAGGGCTCTACATCGTGACAGCGGGATCCTACGGTACTCTCGCACAAATCAGTAGTAATTCCCCTACGCATAACACAAAAAGCAACGAACGAAAAGAATTACCACAACCCAAAATCTCCTGTCTCAGATTCGACATACTGCACGCCAAACAGCGCATGAGTATGTTAAGACTTCGAGGCCTTCGTGGCAGGTTACAGGCCTCGCTTCGGACATCTTCGGAGATTGCCCAAGTTCAGCCAATTCACACTTGACCATACCAAAACTAAAGGGCAGCAAGTGGAGCACTCACTAACACGTTTTGCTGCGACGGGTGGTCAAGCAGTCAACTCACGGCGGAGCGCCTCTGTCGAACCGAAAAACAAAGGGAAGTCGGAACGACTAGGCTTCGCCCCTTCGGGCCGTTGTGACACTGTCCACTCCGCGGCCCAGAAGGACTGGGCTGGGCGGGCGGGCAAAAGAACGAACTTGAGCCGAGCTTTAGCCAAGATCAAGTCGCTCAACACATGAACTCTACGTTATCTCTAACAGTCAAGTTCAGCCAATTCACACTTGACCATACCAAAACTAAAGGGCAGCAAGTGGAGCACTCACTAACACGTTTTGCTGCGACGGGTGGTCAAGCAGTCAACTCACGGCGGAGCGCCTCTGTCGAACCGAAAAACAAAGGGAAGTCGGAACGACTAGGCTTCGCCCCTTCGGGCCGTTGTGACACTGTCCACTCCGCCAAACATGAACCAAAACCAAGAACAACAACAAACAAGCTCCACTGCTGTCAAGAAAAGGTGCAGGCTGCCCTACGAGACAAACGCAGCGCAGAAGATCCCACTCCGTTTTTGCTGGTACAGCAAGAAATCAACTCACTGAGACGGGGCTTAAATTGCCCGTTGGTGCGAAGCACCGGGTGGAGCACCCTCGGCCCTGTACTGCCTCGGGTGGAGCACCCTATTCTGAGAGCGGTAACGCTCTGGAAAGGGCTCCCTCAGTATCCGCGTAGAGGAACTCTGCGGCGGCGGCACCTCAGTACACGATGTTGTACTCAAAGTCCAGGAGGTGGTGGTGGCGCCGTTGTTGAAGAAGCTTTGGCTGCCATGGCCTTAGGTTGAAGGTCCACGGTGCCTCGGGCCATCTGATGCTGGACAGCACGCAGGCGGGATTTGTGGCGCATCCAGCACTGCTGCGCCGTGTACCCCGCTTCCTCATCCACTTGGACCATCGGGTCGTTCCGGTAAGTCTCGAGCGAGGCCTTCAGTTTCGGCGTGTTGGCCAGCGGGGTGCTGCCAGAAGTGCCCCCGGTGATCGCTGCGGTCTGACGGACCGTATGCGCCAGCAAGCCTCCCACCATGAGCGGTGCGCTCGTCGCCAGTTTCTCCAGCAACAGGAACTGTTGATCAGGCCGAAGGCGACGAAGCCGTTGCTCCAACTCCCGACATTCTTTCTCGATGCGGGCGACCTCATCCCTCTCTTCCTGGGTCAAGTCGTCCATCGGGTCCTCCGTGGGGTCGACCGGGTTGTTGTGGAAGTGAGGGATGTCCTCGTTGCCTCCCGAGGATGGAGCATCCGAGCTCGGGGGAGGAACTCCCCCTGGCTCTTCTTGAGTTGCTTTCGGTGGCGTCACCGGTGCCTGAGAGCCCATGTAGGTTGGCTCCAGATGCGGTGGGAACCACCTTGCAGCATGCAGGCCCATACAGTGGCGGTAATGATCAGCTTCCTCGTACGAGCCGGCGACGGGCAGCGGGAATCGAGGCTGTGCGTATACACAAGGAAGACGCCCCGATGGGTCATACCTTGGTGGACCCTCTCCGCTCTCGTAGTGGGTGCCCAACTCTCGCATCCGCAGGAGATCCTGGAAGTTGAAGGTCGGCCGCGGCTCTCTTGTGAGGGCACTTCGCACCGGGCAAACCTCCGGGATGTCCACCTGCAGCGGGACGGCCTCGATGTCGAGCAAGGGCGGGACGCCCACGTTTGCTTGCTGAAGAAGTCGAAAAAGGTTCGGCTTCAGCTTCAACCAAGCAACTAAGCAGTGTGCCACCCTTCGGAGCGAATGGGCAGGCATCCTCCCCCAACTCTGCACTCCGTAGACCTCGTTGCGCACCATCAAGACGTCTGGCAGAAGTCCAATTGACAACACCAGGCGAGGGGTATTGGCATCGAGGTCCCGAGTGGTGAAGAAGGCGGCCTCCCTGTTCTCGAGAACCACTGCCAGTTTCTCGGGACCATCCGCTCTTTCCTCGGTGCGAGGTCTCTTCGGATCGGGGACCGGTGAAGGAACCTTCGCTTTCCCTCCTCGATGGGTAATAGGCAGAGACTTCAAAGGCACCCCCACGGAACTCTTCGGGGTAGGAGCCGATGTCGAGGTAGCCGGTGAGCTGGTAGCCGGTGGTTTCCCGGGGCTGCTGGTAGGAGTCGTTGAAGCCTTCGGGGGAGGCGGATCGGCCTTTTGCACAGGTGGATCGGCCTTCGGCTGGCTCTTGGGCGGTTCGCCTCCAGAGCCATCTCCCACTACCTTGCGACGATCGAGAGGAACGCTGGGATCATCGTGACCTCCCTCGTCGTCAGGTCGAACTCGGTGGCAGTCCTCGGTCCTGCGCATCTGGCAGATCGGGCACACCGTGGTTCGGGTAGAGACTTCACTGCGGCATCTGCTGCAGAGCCAATGTGTCGCCCGAATCACTCCCACGACATCGCGCCCGGGGCGGTACGCCCACTGGCAAAGGTTGCATTCCTGCCGTCGAAAGCGGTTTCGCTCTTTGCAGTGGGGGCAGACCCAACACAGATCATCATTGTTACCAGCCTCTGTACTGGACGGGGGCGGAGCGCCAGAGTCCCTTGCCGATGCCTTCGGCGGTGGCCTAGAAGGCTTTGGTGGGCGCTCCCGGGGAGGTGCCTTCGTCTTCGAGGTCGGTTGCTGGTCCAGGAGGAGGGGGAGCCCCTTGCATCTGCGCCAACACTTGATCGTGCACCAAGCGGCCAAGACGTCGGGGTCCCGTGTGCCAGCCTTGTCCGGGTGCAACGTCAGGGCAAGCTTGCGGAACGCTCGCAAGATGTCCGCGGCTGAGGCCTGCTGAGTTAGGCCCATCAGCTCCCAAGCGCTGCCCCACATCTGGATGAACTCCCGGATTTTCGTCCTCGAGGGTGCGGAGGGAGGCGCAGCGTTGTCAGGAGGCGGAGCGCCATGACCACTCATGATTTCCAAGCGAGAGGAAAGCGGAACCTAGCAACAGAGGGCTTGAGACAAAAGCTGCCGGCAAAGACAAACCAACACTTTCAGCGGACCGACGCGCATCCTGCGAAATACTCACAAACGTGCAGTGGACCTCAACGAAGTGTCTCTCTCACCGTCACTGCTTTCTGCGGGCACGTGAACAGCACCCCTCCCAGGGACCTCAGATCCATCTCCACCCTGAAGTGAGGGGGGGTCCTCTTGGAGCACAGCCTCCGAGGTTTTTCCGGTGGGGGTGGCCTCGGTCCGGGCAGGGGGGGTCTCCAGCCAAGGGGGAACCACGCCGAACCTTTGCCGGAAAACAGGGGCCTCAACAATCCCGCCAGCTAAGAGCTGACGTCTTAAGCGAGCCCTCTGAACAAAAGTCAGACCGGTGGTCCTCTCAGCGTCCTCGAGCTTAGCTTGAGCTCGCTGCCATTCTTCCTCAGTCCAGGTATCGGACTCCTCGTCCTCCTGGGTACGGCCTTTGGGGCCTCCGCATCTAGTGCCGCCGCCCCGGTACGGGGTTGGCTTACCAGATCTCTGTTGAGGCTGAAGCACTGGCCGGGAAGAGAGCATGTCCTTAGCCCGCATCGGTGCTGCTGCAAGATCAGTGTAAAGGTAAGCGTGGATGGCGTCGGACTTCCATCCTCCAAACCTTTTGACAATCTCTACATCGTCAGTGACCGCAAGCATCGCGGTCGCCCCACCTTTCCTTAAGCTGTGGGACCCCAAGGGCAACAGCTCCTAAGCGGAGGAGCTCCGAGATAGTTTCCCTAGTTATTCCAATCCCTTGCCAGGCGCACACTGGCAAAGTGGCATCACTAACCCAGGCTGGGTTGTGCCGAGCATGCTCTTGAAGGGCTCGCACAGGGCATATGGCTTCGCCAGTGCGATGTTGAAGACGGACCTGCCCACGGCCGAATTGGTCTCCCTTTGAGTCCCTTAGTTGGACA